TGACCTCCTTATGGGGGAAACAAAGGCAATATTAGAAAACGCTGATCCTTCTGAATTTCAAAATCATCTGTAAGATGTAAACATAATGATAAGTGACTTCTTTTTGTACCCTCCTGGCATCTGAATCTTTAGATATCCTTGTGAGGCCCTTTTCATTTTGTTGCCACTTTTCAACCAGTTTGTCTGTGCAGAAGAGAAAATTACTCCTAATGCTGGAGTTTGTCCTGCGGGAGAGCAGCAAGGCACCTCCAGCACCTTGAGTAGAGCCTACACAAAAACATCTCTCCCTTTTTTCTCTCTTCTAGTGATCCCCAAAGTAACTAAGCACTTGCTCTCCAATCCTGTCTTCACCTGTATCATCCTGGCTGCCTGCATGGAGATCGCGGTGGTGGCCGGCTTCGCCGCCTTCCTGGGAAAGTACCTGGAGCAGCAGTTCAACCTCACCACCTCATCTGCCAACCAGCTCCTGGGTGAGTAACCACAGGGGCCACCAAGTCTCTAGTGTCCAAAGGCATCTAAAAGTGTTCAGTGTGACTGGTAACTGCAGCCAGGCTTACTGGTTAGGCTGCCCAAAAAGTAACTTGCCCCGCATCTAGAAATGTGTCCATGAGTGGCAGGGCTGAGCTCCAACTGTGCTTTGGCTGCAGAGCCCAGAGCAGACCTCCCGTGTCCTTCCTCCTCAACTGCGCTCTCCACCACAGCCCACTGCAATCACTTCCCCTGTAGCCGAGCCCATTGTGTGAGAAGTGGTGTGATACAGCCCGGATATGAATGTCCTTGATGGCCCTGAAGTACAGCAGAAATCCCAACCAGATTGGGCCGTTAGGTTGCCCAAGACTGCAGTTGCTCGCTGAGCGACAGGTCTGCCCATCAAACTACTTGTCTTATGGTTCAGGTATCTCAGAGTTCTCCAGCCCATCTCCATTTGGGTTAGGAAGCCCAGTTTCTCCTGCTAGTCCGTCCTTTCTCCTCGAACTGGAAACGACAGGATTGTAATTTGCAGTTCAAATAGCTGAGCTAGTGCAGCTTGGTTGTCTTTCAAATGCCCCTTCTCTCCAACCACGCTATGCTGCCATGGTTTCCCATATATAGTTCTCAACATTCATTCGTTCCCTGACAGGACACTGATGCACAAGCAGGATCTTCATTTATTTTCCTTCCGCTGCTCATTCCCAAGCAAGCCCACCAATTTGTTTATGACAGCCGTTCTCTCGGCAGCACCCAATTAAGGTACCTGCAAGTTGATCTTGGGTGATCTGCAGCCACAACTCACCAGATGGGCAACTGGCAGTGATCTGTCAAAAACTGGGACATCATGAAATGGATGGATCTTAATATCAAAATAAGGAGCTTGCAAGCTGCTCTCCTGGCAGTTATTTATTTTCCTGTTGAACTCATTGGTGTCTTCTGGTTTTAGCCTGGTTTTCTAAAAGAAACAATCCCCTGCAGTCAGTCTTGCCTCCCCCAGCAGCACAGGAACTCACTGGGGAATTTTAATAGGATTTGACAGAGGGCAGAGGTCTCAAAGATGTCAGGCTCTTCCATCTTTCCTGAAAATTAAAAGCTTGGCAAAGGAAAGCAACTTCACTGTTGATCCACTGGGAGAAGGAAAACCACTGTGCTCTTTGATGGGGTATGTCTGGGCATTCAGCAACGAGAGAATCACCTCTGAGCCAGAGCACGTTCTGCCTCTGACCTAGCAGTGGGAAAGAAGACTTTGATACTTCTGTGGTCCTCGCAGCAACTTGTTTAATTTAAACAAAGTTGCTACCAGATCTCCCACATGGCATTTATGGGAGTCCAGAAATGCCTGGATTTGGATGCACTTCTAAGCTTAGCCCGGGTAGGTAAGGTTTGGAGTATAACTGGCAGTAAGGATAAAAGCGAACCCAGAGAAGGTTAGTGTGATAATGCCTTTCTGTGCCTGGAAAATGAGTCACTTCTGGCAGTGATTTTGCACCTCACAGTTTAAGAAGATTCTTTAAGGGAGACTTAATATTTTCAAATGCGACTGTTACCTAATCTCTGAAGATCAGGCTGCTGTGAAGTGTACCAAGCAGGGCTCATACAAAGCCTCTAGACACCTCAGAAAATTCTCAACTTTATTTGTCTGCCAACTGTTGCAGGAAGCATTAGAGGTGCTGCTGCTTAGGTTAGGGTGAGCCAATCTCAGCAATTTTGGCATCTCCCTCCAATATGGACAAAAACTAGAAGATCCTAGCTCCTCTGTGCAAGGCAGCATACCCATTTGCATCTATTCCTCTCTTTTTGGGCAACCCCAGCTTGGTGCTACTCCAGCAGTTGGTCATTACAAGGTTTCCCCGTGACAGCACTCTGTGCTGGAAAGTAAAAAGCTGTAATAGTGTGGTTTGCACCTCACTCACACTTGTTACTAACTGATTTTGTCTCTTGCAGGGATGACAGCCATCCCATGTGCGTGTCTGGGCATATTCCTGGGTGGCCTCTTGGTGAAGAAGCTCAGCCTGTCTGCTCTGGGAGCCATCAGGATGGCCATGCTGGTGAACCTGGTGTCCACAGCTTGCTACGTGTCTTTCCTGTTCCTGGGATGTGACACAGGACCTGTGGCAGGGGTTACTGTTCCCTATGGAAACAAGTGAGTCCCTGGAGAGTTTCAGGGTCTCACCCGGCCTTACCAGCATAAATGCCAGGTTATTTTCCTCAACAGGCAGCCTTCAGACAGCACTGGCCATATGGAGCAAGCATTTAGAAGGCAATGTTGTACAGAGCTCTTGGTTTGGGATGTGTTCGTGCCACTCATCACTGTGAGAGCTGAGTACCTGCAGCCGACAACAGAGTTTTACTAAAATCGGTTAAACTGAATCAAAATGAATGACAAGGGGTAATGGTTTTAAAATAGAGGGAGGTAGATTCAGGTTGGATATTAGGAAAAAAATTTTTACCATGAGAGTGGTAGAACACTGGAACAGGTTGCCCAGAGAGGTGGTGGATGCTCCATCCCTGGAGACATTCAAGGCCAGGTTGGACGAGGCCCTGAGCAACCTGATCTAGTTGGAGATATCCCTGTTTGTTGCAGGGGGGTTGGACTAGATGACCTTTGAAGGTCCCTTCCAGCCCTAACCATTCTATGATTCTATGAAAAGGTGCCAGATCTGATTCTGCACCCATGGCCACCTTGGTAGCATTGGCTCCACCACACTGCCTGGTTTCTCTTGGCAGCGAGAGGTGTGTGCTGCTTTGTACATTTATTTAAGTGCCTGAGGGGAATTTGTAGGACCAGGTTTTAGACGCCTGGAAATTCAGATATGGTGAAGAGAGAGGATGTGTGGCTCCAGGCCCGTTTTGATGAGAGAAATGAGGCGTGCGGTGCCCTGTAGCATTCACAGGACTTGGAGAGAATTACTCTGTATTTTATTTTCTGGTGCTCCTTAATATGCAGTGGCGACTTTTTTGAAGATGATGGCTCTCAGCGCCTCACTGTTAACTGTTCTAGGAAAAAAACAGCTCAGACTCTTCTAGCATGTCTTTGGGTTTTCTTGGGGTAACAAGGCAGCCTAAGCCTCGCATTAGGTTCCCTGTTGCAGAGGGATAGTGGCCATGGCATTTCTGTCCCCAGGGAGAGGCTGTAGCCTGGATATCTTCAAGCTGGGACCCACGTAACCTGCGCACTGCTTTTTGTGATTTGTCACCTTAACTAACACCCTCCAAAGCCATCTTTGTGTGGCACTGGTTGCAAGATTGCAATACCATTACACTGATGGCTGATACAATTTCTCTTTCTCTTACAGCTCAACTCCAACCTCATCTCTGGACCCGTATTCCCCCTGCAATAACAACTGTGAATGCCAAACTGATTCCTTCACTCCAGTCTGTGGGGCAGACGGGGTCACGTACTTATCCGCCTGCTTTGCTGGCTGCAGCAGCACGGTGAGTGGGCTTTCCTTGGGACCTCTCACCTGTAGGAACGATTCTGTGAGCACGAGTGGGTGAGGTTAGTGTGTATCTGGTGAAGGAGCTTGTTCAGAGCCAGCAGCGCTTACACCTCCAAAAGCTAACCCCATACCTCAGGGGCACCTGAGCCGCTGTCATTTTTCGCTCTTTTGCATGGATGCCTGCTGACTCCAGAAGCAGCCTGCCAGGGTCACCCACGGAGCAGGATGGGATTTCCCATCCTCCTCCTGCTCAGGTCTTTCTCCTCAGCACGGAAGCAAGGAACACGAGAGGAGATCTGCACAGTTCTCCACTGGCAAAACCCAGATCCTCTGCAAGAGCTCACTAGCCCAGGCTGTGGGACCAGCTTCTCTTTTCTCCTGCAGCTCCTCATGTCCCCACTTCTCCACCTGCTCGTCTTTGCCCTGCCCAGTCCTTTTGTTCTTTTTCCTCTTACTCTTTTCCTCAGTCTGATTCCTAGACACATATGATCAGATCCTGGTTTTATTCAACCTTGTTTAAGCTTTTGTTCCGCTCCTCTTGCCTCTCTCTCTTTCCCTGCTTTGCTCTGAGGCAGTGGCAAGAGCAGTCGTCAAGGGAGCAGAGACTCCATGCAAAGACATTCTGCATTTTTCACTTCTCCATATCTAAGAGTTTATTTCCTTTAGACAACTCTTAAAGACCAAACCATCTCTGTGTCAAGAAGATGTGGGGAATTTTTAACAATATCTTAAAAGCCTGCTTTTCCATTTTTTGCTGCTGAAATGCTAATGTCTTCTGGCTTACACTGGAAATGAGTGCCTGGGTGGTAACTGGTGGAGGTTCCTGCAGTCCTTGCTCCCTGCCTGGGGCCGTGCCAGGCATAGTGACCGCTGCCACGCTGCCTGTGTGGAGCCCGTGGGATGTCAGCCTGGTCACAGTGACCGTTCGTGGCTGCAGAGGCATCAATGCTCACCACATACAATTATCCTTCCACGGTTTCATCCTTCCTTTTTGAGGAGACATTAAACCTCCTTTCCTGCCCAAATGAGACAAACCGCCTGTGTGTGCCGGTGAGCGGAGGTTCAAGCTCACTGCTAGCAAGTGCAGCCTCACAGCCCAGATGACCTGGGAGCTCGTCCTGCTTAATCCTCAATTCCCACTCCAGCTTCAGAGACATAAGCATCCCTTTGAGATATCATGGTTTCAAGGTGCTTTCAGCAACCCCACAAGTGACTCCATGAGTGTGTGGCATGTGCAAAGGTGTTACCTCCTGCCCTCTTTTTCCTCCTCCTTCTTCTCCTAACGAGAGACAAGTCAACACCTAGGGCAGCAACACGATCGTTTTAACAAGAAGCCAGCTTGTACAAGGCGCACAGAATAGTGTCTCACCAGTTCACTGAGTCCATAGCAAGAATACGGCTGACGTGGTCCGTGGCTGGAGTGCAGGAGCAACCTCCTCGCTGTGTGGTTCAGGACAAAGCTCTGGCTCCTCTGGAAGGAGCACAGTAATGAATATTCAGCTCTGCCCCTTCAGTCTGCAGCTGCCTGACCTCGTGCTCTGCAAGAACAAACCTCTGAGCAAAACCCTCGCTCTCCCTCACCTTCTCTCTTTCTCATTCATTCTTATTTCGCCTTTTCATCATCATCTTGGGGTTCTTTTCATCGCTTTGTTTTGTGGGTTTTTTGCAGTAACATTCTGAACACAAATTAGTGAAGCAATAGCATCCTCTGGAACAGGCGTTATCAAGAATTATGGACCAGTTTGGCCATGCAATGGCCCTGAGGCAAAGCCAAATTGCCAAACCAGGTTTTAAACCCATAATCCAGGTAATGACCTGTCTAGAGGGTCTTGTGAATGTTATATGCTTGTGATGAGCCGAGGGTTGCTTTTTACTGGGACATAAAATTCTCTGAATGCTTTATTTAACTTTACTGCGTTGGATGTTTCTGACTGCCTCTCTCTGCTTTTCCTCTGTGAACAATTTCTAAAAGCAATATGTAGCTCAGGTTTTTTTCTATTTCATTTCTTCTCTCTTACTGAGCTGGTTGCAGAGGTGCACCTGTCCAAAAAGCTGTAGGAGTATTGGTGCTGATAGGCAGAGCTCTGACACCCTCAGGACTTTCTCTTCCCAGCCATTCCTGTGAGTGACCCTTGTGTACGAAGCCTTTGACCGTGCATCTTGTTTGTTTGATGCTATTGCTTCTCTCACCCTTTTGGCTGGAGATGCATGAATTCCAGCCTGGCATTACCATGCTGGCATCTTGTGGCTTTGCACTAAATTACCAGCCTGTCCCTTCCCTGTCAGAGCCAGGGTTTAAAAAAAAATGAGTAATTAAAAACATGGGTAATTTGCATAGATGATTACCCCAAGATCAGGATGCTGTTAAAGGTGCAAACTGCATCTGTGCAGCTTCACGTGCACACAGAAAATCTGGGTGTGCAAGCTGCTGGGCGGTGAAAGGCTGTGACAGTGTGTGTTTGAAGGCAGCGAGGTTGCAGACAAGGGAATCTATAGTAATTTGGCACAGGTTGCAAAAGGTTGCCTCTCCACAGGACAAAGGTAAAACTCCATCTTTGATGTTTCCTGGTTTGATGTCTGAGTTGTATAGTGTGTCAGTAATAAAAGATCAAAGATCTCCCAGGTAAGGATGAGGTGCAGCCCTAAGCAAGCAGATGGAGTTGGTACAAACTACTCGCACTGCTTTGGCCATCACCTTGGTGCAAAATGGTGGAAAAAGCTTATTTAGGACAAATTTTCAGGCAACGGAGGTGGGGACCTGCCTCATGGTTTGTAAAAAAAATCAATAGTGGGAGGAGAATCTGCCCACCATTGCGAGAAACAGGTACTTTCTCTCCATGGATGAGAGCCCAGGGGATTTAAGCAGCCAGTTCTGCGTGTGTGCCGTGAATGGGAATTTTGTCCCAGGACATTTCAGTGCAGGTTTGTACTTTCCTGCACTTAGATGAGTTGCAATCCACACGGCTGGGCGTGTGTGCCGTGATGGGAATTTTGTCCCAGGACATTTCAGTGCAGGTTTGTACTTTCCTGCACTTAGATGAGTTGCAATCCACACGGCTGGCAATGCACTGCAGTAAGAACCAGGAGCTACAAATTCTGGTTGTCTCTGTGCAAACACCACCGCAGTGGTGCTAATTGTCACCATCTCAAAGCCTTCGGGTGACAGCTTCTAACTCACAGCACAGGAATTTGTTAAGGAATTGTTTATGTTAATTATTGCTTGCCAGCTAGAAAGGCACCTGCATGTCTACTTCAGCTCTCCTGGAGTTCTGCACTGCGGTCTCTCTTGCCCTCTGTGCACTTATTTGGAAGAAAATCATTTGACTCTTATGCAGAAGAAAGATTGGTGTCAGAAAGGCTAGAGTGGTGTCTCTGCAGATCCTTATCTTTCGAGGTATTGAACCAGAAAGTGTGCTTTTGTATGGTCCTAAGGGGTCTTCAGTGGAAAAGCAAAGGAATTTCTACTTGAACGTGGTAGAAGGGAAGGGGAGGAGATTTAGCTATTTTTCAATATGTTTTATTTTATGGCATTACTCCTCTTACAAACATGTGACCTGCAAACCCAGCGGGCTTATGAAGACAAGCCATGAATCATTTATGATCGCTTCATTCTGTATTCGTGAAGGGATTTCTTGGTAGTATTGTGTGCCTTAATTGCACTGACATCCCCCACTCAGAAATTCAGAAGGGCAAGTTGGAAAATAACTAAAAAAAAAAAAAAAAATCCCTAAATCTGTGAGTGGCAAACAAAGCTTCTTTTCACATCCTGCGCTTGCTGGAGAGATCAAAGAAGAATGCAGGCGTTTCGCCCTCCTTCTGATCACATATTGATAAAGTTTATCTCACCTGACTTCAGCTTTTAGCTCAACACAAATCCCTTTGAACCAGATGTCATTTATTAGCCCTCCAGAGCACTTGAGTCCCGCGGTGTCTGTGCTGCCAAGCTGCGGTGGTTCAGCTCTTGGTGAGCCGCGGCACCCATCGTGTGTGGCTTCTTCCCGGGATTCAGGGTGCTGGAAGCAGGCACCAAACCTGCAGCCAGCAACAAGGCTGCAGATTTACCTGCTTTTAATGTACTTCAGTTTAATTGCAAGAGCCAAGAGGATGGAGGTAAATAAGAAAGTAATTAGGAGCATAATTTGGGGATCTTCCTTGTCACAGGGACACAGATCGTTTCTTTATTCTCCTCCAAAGAGGTATAACTTGGTAATAATTTTGTCGCATTGACATTTATGGGAGAGACTTGAAAGGAGCAGAAGAAAAGAAACAAGCCAAGGGACAGCTTTCTCTTGGCTGGTAGCATGCATCAGAGCTGACGTGCTTCTGAAATCCTTTCCAAACCCCCCTCACATAAGCACTTAGGAGTTACTTAATTGACCATTAGAGGATTCGGAGTTGCTGTTGCCAAGCCCTCATTACAGAGGGCAGGTGGTGGGAACCACGGCTCTCACCTCCCTGAACCCCTGTGCTCCTCCGCAGAACCTCAGTGGCTGTTCGTGCCTCACCTCGGTCCCTGCCGAAAATGCCACCGTCGTTCCCGGCAAATGCCCCAGTCCCGGCTGCGAAGAGGCCTTCTTGACATTCCTCTGCGTGATGTGCGTTTGCAGCATGATCGGGGCCATGGCGCAGACGCCGTCAGTCATCATACTCATCAGGTAGGACCACTGCCGGGAGGATGCGATGAGCTGGCTGTGGGCTGCTCTTGGGGTGGGAACCAGGCTGGAGGGACCATGGGGGAATGGCTGGGAGCTGCAGGGATCCAAGGGTCCTGCACAGCTCCTGGCCTCTGCCTGTTTGGCTGCATGTCCCCATACCAATGACTTTGGCTTAGGTGGAGATTCAGTGCATCAGAAAATCCTCCCTTGACAAAGCACTGCCTGGTGGAGACACCTTGAAAGAGCTGCCCATATTTTCAAAAGATCTTGAACCCCCTCAGCAAACGAGGAGCTATGGGCACAAGCTTTCTCGTACGTTACTGCCTTTACATGCAGGCAGGAGTTGGGGATGTGAAAGCCTGAGCAGTCCTGCCTGAATTTCAGCCCTGTTGTTTCAAGTGTTAATCAAATAATTTTCTCTCTAAGCCACTATTCACTTGGTAGCACTTGGTTCATCCACGGCGTGGCCCCACTGACTCCAGTGCCTGCAATACTGGCCTGCTGGAGAGAATACAGGAATTGCTCAAGTACAGCTTTGGTAGAATGGGAGTGAGGAGAGACTGGGCTTGCAAACTCAGGGGATGCTGCAAAGAAGGGTGGCAAACTTGTTCTTACCAAGACTGAGATTAGCACAGAAAGGGAAATACAGAAGTGCAGTTTCCAGTCCAGGTAGCAAGGATGTTACAGCTGTATCAGGAAAGGGACAGAAGTACAGCCCCATGTTCTCAGCATTTAATGGCTTGATAAGATACTTTTAGTGATGGCCTGCAGATGTTAGAAACCATGGAATAGTGACAGGCTGCAGCAAAGACTAGCTTTGGTCAATACCCCGCTGGCTAGAGTTGAACTTCTCTCACCCTGGACCAAGTCCAAGAACAGAAGGAACTTGAAAGTCTGAAGGACATCTCTGAGTTGAGCCAATATGAATAGGTGGGCAAAAGTAGCTTATTCAAATAACTGACCTTGTGTTATTTCCAGACACATGGAACACTTCACCTTATGATATACGTATATATCTAAGCCCACGTTTATCCAGAATTACTTATCTGTCCAGGCTGTCACTTACTGAGAATAATAACCAGAGGCATAAATAGCAGATCCGTTCCGCTGCCTGGAAAATTCCAATAAAATTCAATCAATAAGGTCTGTATTAGAAACCCACTCTTGAGTGGATCTTGGACGGAACAGCTCTGCGAGGGCATGTCTCCCTGCAGGATACAAAACGAGATATTCCACCTACTAGTTCATTTCTCTCTTTACATCTACAGTAGCTAAAGGGAAATCAAATTTCTCATGATGAATATTGTGGCAAAAGTAATTTGAAGTTTGGAGAGTTCTTTGTTCAAGGGAGCTGCCAGCACCTGTAGTATCCGGAATGGAGACATCTTATTGTCATCTTCAGATGAGATAAGCCGGTCACCAGCGAGGAAGAAGAATGCACGGGAAAAAGAAAAGCAAAGGGAATATTAAAAACATGCAGCTCGCAGCTGTAGGAAATAAACAATTCACACATCCAAATTAGTAACTACGGTCGCCTCAGAATCACTGATAGCTACTAAAATGTACGGGGAAGAGCTCTTCGCCATGTACCACCTCGTGCTCTCTTGCATCTGCCATCGTAGGTTGCTAAAAGAAAGTTTTGGCATACGAGCATGTCCCCGGCAGTGACAAGTGGTGTTGGCAGCTCCTATGGTTAATTTAAAAATGAACTTCAATGTCTACAAATTAGACGTCTTGTCTAGGCAAGTCATTTGTTCACTGCTGTAGTCGGTGAGAAAAAGAGGTGTCTCCAGGTGACAACTTTTACTCTGCCCTAAGGTATGAGGATTGGCAGACTTTGGTCTTAAATACAAAAAGGCAGACCAACGGACACCACCACTGATTAAAAACCCACTGTGAATATTTCACATTTTAATCTGTTTTTTCCATAAAATAAACTTTAATACTCCTTCTGTTTCCTTCACTTCCCACCCAACTGTAGAATCCTATTTGACACAAGCCATTAACCACTGGAACATTTTTCCAAGGGTAAATACTTCATGGTATTAAGTCTTTATATCAAGCCTGAGTGTCTGCTTGAAAACTTTGCTGAAATTCAGCCAGAGGTCACAGGCTTTCTGCAGGAATCATGGTACGATGTTACACGGTCAGCGTAACGTGTGAGATGAGGGCAGGTGATCATAATGATCGTTCTCTTAAATTAAAACCTATTACTCTTTCTGGCTGTTTTATCATGATGTCTGGTTCCTCTCCAATGTATTTATTGAGAGGACCACCACTGCCACCATGGGTGTCACTAGCAGTGCTGACTGCAAACTCCTGTAAGGAGCTAATGGAAGAGGCAGCTGAGGCCTTTGAAGTTTCCCTGTGAGATGAATCTGTTCATATGAGGATCACTGTCCTGCTTTCCCAGCCTGTATATACTGTGGGAGATAAAATGCTATTATAAGACTTAAGACTAAATTAATGATTTCCTGAAATTCCAAAGGCTTTGCTGAGCCCACCCCAAGAGGATGACTTTAGCCAGTGGCATCCTTGAGCTAAGTGAATTAGAAAGCCATGAATTATTTTTGAGAGCACCTTTGAAGGATAACACTTAATATGATAGAGTGGATTGTGTTCATAGCAAAAGGCAGCGTGACCATTGTCTTCCCAACATAAAAACAAATCACTTGCTAACCTCACACATATGACAACCAGTCTTCTTGAACACATCCTTACTGGGAGGCTTGATTTAACAGGCTGACTGAACCTTTTGGTCTGTCAACCTCCCTTCTCTCTCATGTTCCCAGTAGTCTGAGAAGTCTCAGAACAAAAAGTTTTCTCTCCCACCAATTCTCAACATCTGGAGTCTTGGAAGTGTGATGGGGAGCTTGTAAATGATGATTTAGTGGGATGGGAATTTCATTTTTCCCCATCCAATGACAAGATTAGCTGTTGCTATTAATGACTTAGCTAAATTCCTCAACCTATCACTAATGCAATTACTTTTGGGGCTGTAGGCAGTTCAGGCGAAGGGAGAAGAAAAACCCCATTAACGACTTTTTGAAGAGGTAGTGGTGGTGGCATCCTGGCTGACAGCACAGAATGGCCGCGGGGTGTGTTAATCTGAGCAGAACACAAGAATCGATTTCACTCTCTCCTTCCCTCCTCCCTACAGAACCGTGAGCCCCGAACTCAAGTCTTACGCTTTGGGGGTGCTTTTCCTGCTTCTCCGTTTGCTAGGTAGGTACAAAAATTTCATATCCTTCTCTCCCGTCCTTTCCTCCCTCACGGAAAACTGTGTTTTTAACATGCAAAAATTGATGTCTACTCCGTGTAATGCTGTGGTTGTCATGAGTGGGGTCTGGTGCAACGGGGTCCGAGCCCTCTCTATGAAAGATATCACATCAAGGCTCCTGAAGGCACTTTTCCTGCCGTTTGAATTGTGCTAATGGAAGAAAATGCGGTGTTGCATGAGAAATGACCGTTTCTGCCATGGTCCCACACAACCAGTTACTCTTCTATAGCTGTTATTAACACGTCAGCAGCTTGCAAAATTACTGCTGTATTGCATATTGCTGAAGTAGAGGGATATGTATTTTCATCCTCCTTTGAGGGATGGGATCTGTGTTACGTGGTGTGTTTGTCCCTTCCTTCGGGTCTCTTGGAAAGGAAAACAGTGAAATGAGACAGACTGAGTCCGTATCCTCCTGTGGATTAATATCCCATTAAAATGCATATGGCTGTTCCTCTGGACCAGTATGTGCTTCTCATGTATGAATTAAAAGGAACACACTGGGCTGTTCGCCCACTTCTTGTTTCTGGGTGGAGTTTTTTTTTTTCCCTTTTGAAGAGATGGCTCCTATTTTAAAGCTCCTATATTTCAGCTCTTTAATCTCAAAGATTCAGGGCAAAATCCTCTCTGATTTATCTTTGTGTGGGTCCTCTCATGCACGGGGTTTCTGCATGTTGTGGGGGTGGGATTTACTTTTTTTTTTAGTGGGGCATAGGCAGTACCTTCCCTGCTTGACCCCCCATTTTCAAAGGAATGAGCTGGAGAGTAAAACGCCATCTACTAGGCTGCAGCAAGACACTAGGAAGTAAGGAACTCAAACTCCCACAGTACCATACATCGCTTTGAATAAGTGACCTCATTTATTTAGTTATTTTTTGTGACACCTTATTCCTCGTTAGCTGAAGGAGACATGGTGGTCCCAGACCAGTTTACGATAAAGCTGATTAGATTTTCATTGCTTTTGGTGAAGTAGCTGCAGTCCTAGAGAAAGCTCCGTCAAGTGATCTTATCCAGAGCTCAGAGAACGCAAAGGGAAGCTTGGGTCAGGTCTGGTTCAAGCCTTGCAAGGACAGCATTTTCTTTAGCTGTCGGGGCTGCTCTCGGTTTTTGGCCTGTCTTCAGCTCTCGCTGGTTGAATGCAGAGTGTCAGCAGGCAAGTGTGCGAGGAGCATGGCTATGGGCTGTTGTTTCCAAAGGAAAAAGTACTTAAGGGGGGAGATTTTCTCTCTTTTCTCTTTTCCTTTCAAAAGAAGGAAACCTCCTGAGATAGCAGCATCTTGAATTCCTCCAAAACCAGTTTCAACCATGTATGCTTAAGTTGAATAGACCTTTTTTTTTCTTCTCCAATAAAGAAACCATAGTAAGAATTTAAACTCAAATTTTCATATGTTGCTCTGTCACTAAGGAATTCCCTTGAAATAAGACAATACATCCTGAAGCACAGGATGTATTGTAGCTCGGACCCACAGAAAATGAAAAGAAAAGTACTTTTCAATATGAGCAAGGGTATCCAAATCTTACCCTTAACAACCTGAGGTTTGAGAATAGCTTTACTGATTTATTTTAAAAGCTTTTCAGTTCACCTTTAAGCTTTGACTTAAGAAGAGAGTGATAATAGCTGCTTCTTGAACCAAAGGAGAGTATTAAATATAGGAGGTATGAGACCCGGAGGTGCAATCGTAGCTAATAGATTTCAGTAAGACAGAAGCAGCTTTTTTATACAGCCCTACACTTTCTGCAATGAAATATATATAGCAGAAATTTTTGCAACACTTTGCAGTGAGAGGTAAAACATGATTGAGTCTCTTTAATATTCACTGTAATAACATGAAACATGACTGAATTCTCCCGATATCCTCCTGGATATATTATCTCATTCCATAGGAATTCTGCTGTGAGAGGGCAGCATAACAGAGTCTTCGTATAAGAGCATTACCGCAGTTGCTCAGAGAAGAGAGTAAAGCAATGTTGTTGGAGCCAAAGGTTTGGAATGGTAATGTCTGGAAAGGCAAAGAGTTTTGGACTTGTAAGATCCTAGACACATCCTTTCTGAATGGGGTGTTCACCGTGCATCCTAGCAAAGTCTCTGCTTACCAGGGCACTTCCTTTTGGTTTTCCTATGAGCCTATGTTGTCTCCCTGTCTTTATCCAACGTCACAAAAACACAGTGTTTCTCTCTGAGAAGGACTTTCCAATCTGCAGTGCAACCCCTCAACTCTCATGTCTCAGAGGGTCTAGGTACTCAGTTGCTCCTGTGAATCTCTTGTCATCTCCTCTGGTAAAAAATGACCGGAAACACTCACTGGTTGCTAAAAGTTTTTCGTATGTTTTTCTTTGAGGTTTCCACATCCATACCTGCATTCACATAGGTGTAGCTTTGGAGTTCAATGAAACAGATCCTCCCTCAAGTCTTATGTGAAGCAATTTCCAGGCCAAATTATCTTGAAAACCTGGAAATCCAGCTGAAGCCAGCAGATGGAGATGATAGCTCTCTCTGAAGTTCAGCCTATATGTCTCCAAAGCTTTGTTTCAATATCTCTCAGTATGTTAACAAGTAGGTGCCCACACCTCAAAATGATGATCCAAATGCAGTTTTCTCTTATTCCAGAAAGCGTGTGACTCCTGCCTCCTTGGTCACTGCCCTGTGTGGATGTTATCCCCTTAGGTAGCATCCAGCACCGGGGTGGCACTGGGCACACCAGCAGTCTTTTTGCTCATTTCTGGCAGGAGCCTAGCTGAATTTTTACATTCCAGGTTGAGTATGTGGTTGTCAGGTTTCAACAAAAAAAGCATCTTTTAACTTAGAAGCAGAACCAGCCCTGTCTGGAATTTCCAGGCATTGACATGACAAACAGCAAGCTGGCACTGATGTTTTTTCCAGAGCATTACCAGGTTTTTAGATGTGATTAGTGGAACTAGTGTTTTTATAACAAAAAGATTGTCTTGCTTTTGTATCATCCGTTTTTATTTGCAACATTTCTGCTATTAATGACTGGTTAAAATGAGTACCAAAAGCCCATATAGCCTTTCTTAATGCCTGCTTTTATTAACATACAAGGAAGATCAAACAAAATCTGCAGAGCTCTAGTCATCGACAAAATGAAATAAAGAGATCTCAGTTACCACAGGGAACAGTGAAGACAAACAATTTATTTGTAGTCTTAGGATACATGCCAGGAATATCAGTATTGCTCATGACAAGCTGAAGGAGGGTATCTTTTTTAAGCCTGGAAATCCAGGTTAATGATGAAACTGGATCCAAGATTAAACACTTTTCTATCTAGAAACTTCAGTCCTTGGGTCTGTTTTGGCTACATGTGTATTTATAGAGTCCCAGGCATCACAGCACCTACAGATGGAGTGATGCTGTCGAGGGTATGTTATGCCCACCTGCTATTTGGTTTCAATGGATACGATCCTCTCCTTTGCTTGCTGTCTTAACCCACAGCAATGATTTCATCGATCAGGGTTTTTTCTGAGGTTTATTCACTTCCAGCCTTCCCCCACAAATACAGCAAAAGGAAGAGAAATGGTTTACGTTCTGTAGAACCTCCACACTCTCTTCTGAGTGCTGCGTGCTCAGTGCATGTGTGCTGGCTGGGAAGTGCAAAGCTGGAATATGGATGTCCTAACCACCAGTGGGGTAATGTGAAACAGGGAGCCTCTACAATGTCCCTGTCGGATGGTGAAAAGTAGAGAAGAAAAACATTGCCTTTATTAGTTAAATGAGATTGGAGTGATTACTTTGCTTTAAGATTGCAGCTCTGCTGCAAACTATGATTGAGAAACGCTCATCAGTAGTTAGCGGCAGTGGCTGTGGGAGTCCTGCTGTGATATTTCGTTTAATAGTGCACTGAAATTTTCCCTTCTTTTCAGATTTAATCTATTAGAGGCCATTGTTTCTTTTCCTCTGACCCAGAGAAAACCTTCTCCTGTGTCAGGGAAAGGTCCAAAGCTAGATCTCGGTGCCCCAACTGATTTCAGGCTCTGAACTGGAATCCCATGACGTCCTTCAGGTGAACACCCCAGAGTGCAGAATTACCGATATCTGAAAAGAGAGCATGCTTCAAGGCTGTCCTCTTCATCTTTCATTTACTCCTCTGCTTAGTCTCATTAGGCAAACGAGAAGCTTAATAAAAGCCACTTAAGCTTGAGTAAAATCCTTCCCGCATGTTGATATCAGCAGGAATCTCTTCCATAGCCGTTGAGTCTAAGCTAAGAACTCATCCACAGACTTTGTTTAGGTTGATTTAGAACTTAAAATTTAGAATCACAGGCTGCAGCTGGGACCATTAACCTTGATAAAGTATCCTCTCTTTCCAGCCACTGCAATCACGTCTTCTCTCTTTATCGTAAGGATCATAAAAGCATGATTTGTCTCTCGTATTTTGACAGGTTTTATCCCACCTCCGCTGATCTTTGGGGCTGGAATTGACTCCACGTGTCTGTTCTGGAGCACGTTCTGTGGCGAGCAAGGAGCCTGCGCGCTGTACGACAACGTGGTCTATAGATACCTGTACGTCAGTATCGCCATAGCCCTGAAGTCTTTTGCATTCATCTTATACACAACCACTTGGCAGTGCTTGAGGAAAAACTATAAAAGATACATCAAGAACCACGAAGGTGGTCTCAGCACTAGTGAGTTTTTTGCCTCTACTCTCACCCTAGACAATCTGGGGCGGGACTCGGTGCCCCAAAATCAGTCACATAGGACAAAATTTATCTATAACCTTGAAGATCATGAGTGGTGTGAAAATATGGAGTCTGTTTTATAGTGACTGTGGAGGGGTGAACTATATTAATAAAACAAGGGTCCTTTTTAATAAAAACAGGAGAGCACGAATGAAGAAACACAACTGCAAAATAACAACGGCAACACAGGAAACTTTCCTCTTTTTCTCCAAGTCAGACCCAGCCAGGATTCTTGAGAACAGCATCTTTTAATGGGATCGCTTGTGACATCCTGCGGGGTGCTGGAGAGAGCAGGGAGCTGCTGTGGCTGGGTACCAGCCCCTTTGATGGCAGTACGAGCTTCCAAGAAGGGCATCTGCCGGAGTTCATCGGAGAGCTCAGCCAACGGACAGGCTCGGGCATGAGGCATATGCTGGAATAGGTGTTTGCGGTGGCAAACAGGGTCCCAGGGATACATGGAGCCCCACAGTGTGGGCTGAAGGGTTAGCTGGTCTGGGTGCTGTTCAAGCCCGCCGCGCCCCGTGATGGCAAAGAGGGAGCAGTGCTGGAGTTGTTCCACCAGTCACACTCTGTCACCAGCCACAAGTCCACGATAAATACCTTGAAAGCTGCTGGAAACCTTCCAGGTGGCGAGCAATGCTGTCAGAGGTATCCGAGCCCTTCCAGCCGAGGCTTATTCGCAGATTGCAGCTTTGTGGCTGTCTGTGAATAGCTGCACTCACATCTCTCCAGCCCAGTAAAGTTCAAGACATTTGCTCACACTTGCCAAACGTGCTGTCATTTTTAAAGGAGGACAAATTCCAAGTACTTGTCTGTGTAGTCCTCTAATAAGATTTTTTTAAAAATTATTTTCAAACCTATGTTAACCCTTAAATCGCTGACACTTTTCCATAGGGAGGATTTATTTATGCTAGTTTGGGGAAGGATCCTGTTTAATTCACCCAAACATAATGTGACTCAAGGGGTTTGTTTAATCCTCTGCGTTTTTTATCCATACGCCTTCATTCTAATATGCTACCAAGCCAATGAAGACACGTAATATGTTTTTAAAAAAGAGAACGAATGCACTGTGTCTCTATAAAAACAATTGTCAGTTGGAGAATTATAGATAATATGCTGATTTACATAATATAGTTTTTTCATATTCTATGTGACTCAGTGAATACATATATATATGGAGAGGCTGTTTATGTTCTCTCCAGTTTTTAAAGATATATATATATAATTTGCAATCTAGAAATTGTGTGGTGGATGTTTTCTTTAAAGTAAGTGTGCGTGCGTGTGTGTACAAGACGAAAGGAATACTGACCTTAATCCTGCAACCCTCACAGCTGATTTCTTTTTTTCACCTGAGAAATTCCACTGACTTCAGTGGAAGCCATGTGAGGAAAGCGGAATGATCTCCCCTCCTGGAGGCCATGTTTTGCCCTTAGATGTGCAAATAGTGTTCCTATGGAAGGCTGGGTTATGGGAGCAGAGGCTGGCCAGCATTGAGCACCTCTGAAATTTTCATTCAGGTCCTCAAGAGGCACCCATGCAGGAGCAGGTTTGGCTTTGCTTTTGCAATGCAGTCTTATCTAAGCCTGCAAAAGTCATGGGGAAGCTTTCATCTGATTTCAAGAAGCATTGGGTCAGGCTTATTTTGCATGCGTATTTTTCTTTTCCAAAAGGTTCCTGCTGGGAAGCAATATGAATTGGTTGTGTTTGATGAGTTTTCCCCAGGAACCAGACCCATTTCCAATGGACTAAATGTCAGAAGGTTTTTAAGGGTTAGCATCATATTCAAAAAAGCTCCTTCTTGTTTGTATTTTGAAGCTGTTGTGAACTTGCAGATGTTTAGAGAAGTAACCTGGCACGTTGAACCGAGCGCTGGACGTCACTCCCGTGCAGCTGGCAGAGGGGCTGATCTTCCCCGAGTCCTTGTCCATTGCTGGCAGTGGACACCCCAGAGCTGGCACAATTACAGAGGGTTGATAACTTGCCGCTCATGTTCAACACCTTTTTAGCAGACTTTGCTCTTATCTGGTCATTGAAACACGGGTGTGGGGTATCAAACTGCTTCCACTTGACTTACTTTACGTATGCGTTTGTAATTTATGCACAGCATTATATGTTCAGCAACAATAACGGCAAAAAAAAAAAAAAGAAAAGGGTGTATCAAATAAACTCCACTGTGCCAAATACTCAACAAATATTGTAACTGCAGATATTTGATTCTTGTTTTTCAGCCATGTTAAGAATCACTTGATTAATGAAGGAGTTTAAGGAAAAAAAAAGTTATTAAGCTATGCAGTGCCATTGTTATGTTGGGTGGTAAATGATGCTTTTTAGACTGTTAGATTGGTTTAGTATATCCTGTCTGCTAAAGTAGAGATACTGCATCCATAAAACAACGAATTTTAAAAAGGCACAGGGTGCATAACTGTCTCATAAAATATGTATAATTGTCAAGTATAAGCCTTTGAAATCATTCTGTACAGTTCTCTTCATTCTGCAAATTTATTACTTAGACTGCTGTCTTTTCAAATGTTAGCTCATAATTTTATACTGTACACACATTCAGACTCGAACACACGTCATAGAATAGAACCTTTCTAAAAGCCTGATTGCTTGAAATTCTATAACCCCTTTCACACTTTCAATTTTTTTCCCCTCTGAAAGTCCAAGGTGAAGGAGAATAGCATGCTGACACGATGCAAAACAAACTCCCAGTGTTCAAGAGCTGTGGTTTGTCAGTACAGTCAAAAGTCCCCCTTGACCGGAGTTGTAGAAATAGGATTCCGGGGCGCTTACCATTTCCATTTTTATTTTTGTTTATTTGTTTTCATTTAATCTCTTCTCTTGGTATGTATGGGAGACACAGTTGAATGGGGTTACTTACATTATTTTTAAGCTGTAACTTAAAATTCCTGCATGATTGTTGTTTTATTTCTTTTGATAATGTGACTTTTGAAGAGCTCACTTCCCATCCTACTCTTTTTTTTTTTTAATTTTAAGGATGTATCAGATGCCTGCATCATGAAGGGCTTTACTGTCAGTGCTTTGGTACAGATTCAAGAACAGAGCTTTAGTTTAAAGAAAACACACAGAAGAAAACCTTCATCCATCCCAGCAGGCTCTTTGTTTTTCCTGATTTCAAAACCACAAGCTAGTTCTGCCTGCGACCCAATTTTTGTTCTAGAATAACAAATGAAGAGTCTCAGACATCCTCTCGCTTCCCAAATTGCAGTATGGGCTTTCGCCTGTCAGCACTTCGCTTCCATCCCGCAACTGCCTTAACCGTGCAGGAAACTTAAGAACAAGGATGGAGTTCAAAAAATGGCCATTCCTGGGAACAGGAGCAGGGGCATGGTCTGAGCTGCGCAGTCCAGATCCAAGGTTGGAAATTTTTTCTCCATATTTAGGGGCATTGAAATTCAGGGTTTTGTTGAGACCTCAGTCTCAGCACAAATGTTATTTTGACATTTCCAAGCACTGTGTTCCCTGCATGGCTGTCTGCTAAGGAATGGGATGTTTGAAAAAATAAACTACTTGAGATTTAGCAGTCTCTATGGGATTGCCCAGTTGCCTTGCATGACTTCAGGTTGGGGTTTCCTTTCCCTTGCACAGATACCACCTTGGTGTAGCCCCAGTGGAATCAAAAGGGGACCCCAATCTAAAACTGGTGCAGATGACACTAGAATCAGTTTATTTGCCTCCTTTGTTAACAAGGGGATGCGTTTTCAGAACCTTCTTTTTATACATATTGAAATCATACATTTTTCTGACTTTGTCCAGCACATCTTGGATGTACAGTGGGACTGAAAAAGGCCATCACTTGAATTATCTAGACAAACCTTCCATTCCTTGAGAATTCAACTAATAGGGGCCTCACGCTGCCATACCCCTGCGAGATGCACTGAACTACTCAGTGCTGCTGCTGTTAACCTCGGTTGGGTCTCACCTTGCTGAGAAGGTGAATAGGG